TGGGGGGTAGGCCGGGGTGGGGTAGGAGGGGTGAGGGTGAGGGGAGGGAGAGGGAGAGGGAGAAGGGATTGACTTGTGAAACAAGCTTGTTCCTAATTTGAACTAATAAAAAAAAAGTTGAAAAAAAAGTCATCTGATGAGCATATTAATAGACTGGACATGAATAAAGAAAGAATGTAGACCAGAAAAAAAAAAAAGAAAGAAAAGTGGAAGCTGGCAAGATAGCTCAATGGGTAGAGGCACTTGCTGTGAAATCTGACAACCTGAGTTAAATCCCTGGAACCCATACATGGTAGAAGGAGAGAACTGACTATCACAAGCTGTCCTCTGACTCCCACATACATGTAGTGGCACATACATGCTTGCAAACTTACATACACATAAGATAAAACATGTTAAAAGATTTTAATGAAATAAAAAATTTAAAGACATTAAAAGTTAGTCTTTGATTTTTAATTTTCTTCTTCCATTCTACCCCCGGAGCAGAAACTTTGTTTTATAGTAATTAACTGTCTTTCTCTTTCTTTCTTTCTTTCTTTCTTTCTTTCTTTCTTTCTTTCTTTCTTTCTTTCTTTCTTTCCTCCTCCTCTTCCTCCTCCTCCTCCTCCTTTTTTTTTTTTTTTTTTTTTTTTTTAATAAACAGGGCAGTCAGCACAGTGTGCCTGCTTATACCAATCCTGATTTTATTGCTTGACTGTTTCTAGGTCATTCTTACTTTAGACACTATCTTAGCTAAATTATTTCAGAAGTCTAAGTAGGGGAGGGAATCTGGAAACATAGTGAGGATGGTGTTGAAACTAATCATTATTTGAGCTTAGAGATTAATTTTTAGTACAAAGTAGTTAATAAATTTGATAAAAACTCATGTTGTTTTGGCACCTTTGTATCAAAACCATGGGTATTTGGGTTAGATATTTGTATACTAGTCCAGCTTGTGTAATTTACTGATAACATCACTTTCAGGCCCTTTGTGTCCCACACTTTACAAATGCTCTGAATGGCCTTGTGCAGTTTCGCCAACATGAACATGCTTGCTCAGAGTAGAAGTTGACTCAGGTGGGCGAAAGAACATGTGTTCTATTGACTTACAATGTGGGTGGGGCAACCTGCTCCTTCTTAAAGTCATTGTATTTTGTGTACCAGTTCTTTTAAAAATGTGAATAGAAAAAAGGTTGTTTTTGAAAGAATTACTCATGACACATTCTCAGTTGAGTCCTTGTGGGGGAGGCAATACACTGCTTGCCATGAAGTGTTGTACCCAGGACACATGACTCTGTGCCTCATTGCTGTCTAATGAAACTTCTTTCTGTGCTTGGGTTTGTGTGTGCGTGCGTGCATGCATGCGTGTGTTGCTTGTCTTTTAACAGTGATGGTATAGGTGAAGACCTTCAGATATTTGCCCAAAGGTATTTGATAGTTTGATATGTTAAAACTCACTGTCTTAATACCATGTTACCTTTGTCCAGAAGAGCAAGTTTGGAAGTATTGTACATTTATATAATAAACTTTACCTCTGCATTGTTACTTTTTCTGAAGTGTTGGTGCTTTCAATTTGAAAAAGACATTTTTGTTATTTAATTGTTGCTGGGACAAAAGCCACTTAGCCAGAATTTCAGAGAAATGATAGTTTTTTGTTTCTAAGTAGAGTTCCTGTGGTATGCAGAGTAATTTTTGGTTGGTCAACCAGGTTTTCTCTAGACTGCATCTGGAACAGTAGTGTCTTCAGATCCAAGCCTGTGAACTAGCATTTTTGTTCCTCTTGGGTATCTATGTATATCTGCCTGAAACACCTGAAAACAAAGCCTTTGAGCAAGAGATTGTCCTTTGCCGAGACATCCTGTTAGGTCTGGATCCTTACTTTCCAGGTGCCAAGTGGGGTCCATTTCTAGGGCCTGTGATCACTCTTCTCAATGTTCTAGGACTTGTGTGCGTGATGTGACTGATTTGACCTCCCAGCTCTGCTCTTCATGGACGGTGCAAAACTATCTACAGTGCTGTAGACAGCAGGGGTCCAAAGTGGCGTCTGCATACACATGCAGGTTCACCAATAAGAAAACATTAGCTATTGTATTTGTAGCACTGTTATGACTGGCAAGGTGATTTGTCCATATGGAGTATCAGTAGTCCATATAGTAATGGTTAATTGAGTGCACACATTAAACATATGGTACATGTGTTAAATCCATACCAGTCCTCTCCTTTTGCTCTTAGCCATTGTAGTAGACATTATCCAAGGCATACTCAGCTTCTCCTTTAGGAGCCTTTCAGATGCAGAAGTTTGAGCATACTTTTCTTATGAGGTGACCATGGCTTTTACTGGATACTTAAGGATATCTTTGGCTCTTGGAATCAATTCAGTTGCCAGTCTTGGGTTTCGCTGAAGCCTTAAGGCTTGTGTTGGTAGGACCATAACTGTTTACATAGCTCGGTTTGAAAAGTAAGGTATCTAATTAGGCATTCATTCCTTAAAACAAAGTCCTTTCTTTTAGGCTTAGCACTGAGAGACTGAAGCCAAAGCTGTCATCATCTTAAAGTAATGCATGATAGGCACTGAATGCTTTTCTGGTATCTGGTTTTTAAACTTCTTTTTGTAAGGTATTATCTAATGTCTTCATTAATCTTCATCTATTTTTAAAACACTTTGGCAATGTCTTTCAAACTTACATGCATTGGTTGCATGTGGGAGTGACTATGGAGCTATTTTTGAAATGCCCTGTTCTCACTGCACTGTTTGCACAGGGAGAATTTCTGCTGTCCATAAGTTTCCCTGTGAGGCTTGCAGTAGTGTTTGATGGAAGTGTGTTGGATCAGGGCTGAAAGCCAAACTCAAAAGTCAGTTGGTGATGTGAAATTGAGTCAAAGGTATTTTTGAAATCACCCATAAAAATCCTTAAATGGCCTGTAGCATATGTAGTACATAACTGTGTTTGTATGGTTCTACAGGAAGTATCTATTGCTTCTTGTAACTTTTTGTTATAGGTCCATATAGCCCCATGTAGTCCTCAGTGTCTTCCTCAAGACTGCCATGGCCTTTTTTTTTCTCATTATATTTGCCCATATGACTGGTAGAATTTGTTTACCTATCCATGGTCAGAAAATCCTACCACTCATGCCCTCTTTGGGTATAAGTTTTGGTATACATAGTCATTTAAATACTCGTTCAGTTAACAAGACTTTAAATGTGTATATGGGTGAATTTAGTAACTTAAGTCCATGTGTGATGTAATCCTTACACATTCCCAGCTTTCTTCTCTTTATAAAACAGTAGCATTGAAGTCTGCCAATGGTGTATTGTAAGGAAATGGTCCTATTTATTCACTTGTGTGATGAACATTAAGAATGTGTAAGGTGTTGGAATTGGGGTTGCAGGAGTGTAATAGACATCATTCCTATGTAACTAGTGGGAAGAACAGGCTCTAGTGAATGGCACCTGAGCTTTCTCGTTAATGCAAGCGTAAGTAGGTGGTAGACACTCATGCCTCTTTCCTGTGTGACTGGCACAGGCATGAAGGTTGAGCCTGGCTTGGGTTGCCCTGCTAGGAAACAGTCATAGGATTCATGGCAGAGCCTTCCCAGAGCATCCCACAAATATCTGAGGACTCTGACCTGATTTCAACTGCGTGTTGCTACAGATATGAATGTACCTCACTTTATTAAGGACTCTTATTTATTTTTTAACAGGAATCACTAGATTTGATCTACTTGGAGACTTTGGAAGATTTAATTGGCTGGGAAATTTCTATATTGTATTATCCTACAATTTACTCTTTGCCATTGTGACAACATTGTGTTTGGTCAGAAAATTCACGTCAGCTGTACGAGAAGAACTTTTCAAGGCCCTAGGTAATCTTGAGGTTTTATGAACATTTCTTTCTACTAATCATGACTTTGACATTTGTGTCTTTATTTAGTTAAGTATTCATGGCTGTCAGTTTGCATTCTTGACTCATGTTTTGGTTGTGATTAGTTTGGAATCATGTCATTGTATTGTAGGGCCTCATCTGTAAGGTGTGTGGGTAGGAACTGTGATGGTTCTTGTGGAGCCTTAGTACAGTGCCTAGAATGCCCTGAGAACTTGAGAATGGCAATCATCCTTTGTTCTTATCACTGTAATGATAATGACTTGGTGTTGAAGGTTTGCTTTCTGGTAATGATGCCTTTTACTGCTGTTTGCTTGAAGCCTTTTTTTTTTTTTTTTTTTTCTAAGTGTATAAACAACCTATAATTCTCTTCTCTAAGCCGGATAACTCTGGAGGTTTGCTGTCATGTACCGTGTCCTATGTATTGTGATGGCATCAAGGTCCGCTCTAAGTGATGTATGTTTGCTGTGTTTACTTCTACACTCATGCTGAATATGATCCAGGGTTTGTGCTTTAGGATGAGAAGCACTCTGGAAGCTTCCCAGGCCTGTAGCATCTACCTCATAGCAGAAATGAAAGGTGGTGGTTTCTTGTAGGAAATATAGGAAACACTGGCATTAACTCATTTGTCTGATACCACTTGAATGCTTATGCTCCGTATAGGCTGTGGTTTTTGATGTTTTAAGAGGCAGAATATTTATAGATTCATAGGCCCAATTTCAGAAAACTTAAACTATAGGAGCATCAAGAAGGCTTTTCATAGCACCTACCTTTATGACCTTGATGTTTGAAACAAACAAACAGACAAACAAAAAACCACCGGGTTACTGCTCCATGTGTATTTTATTTGTAACATACATTGTGACGGGTCAACTGATTAAAATATTTCCCTGAAATGAAAAAGCTATATCTCAGTTGAAACACCAGATAATTTATGAATTTTAGTGCCTGGGTTTCACGGTACTGGCCACATTGAAAACAGCCAGGTGCTTAAGAATTAAGAACCCTTAGTCACATGTCTAGTTGAAGTTTCATTTTTAGCTAGGACCTCACTCAGGTCAGTTCCCACTTGGCTACAACTGAGATGGCTGCAGTGCATCAGTGTTGGTTTCTTGCTATGAGGAGCTTCTGCTAAGTTAGTCAACCTGCCAGAGGCCAGAGGCCAGAGGCCCTCGGTGTCATGTCAGCAATCTGACTGTAAGACACAATGGTGTTTTCAAGAGTTGTGTAAAACTCCCAAGAGATATGTTGTTTTCCTTTCCAAATGTTTTCTATTATCCTTTTGTATATTCTTTGGGGACAATTCTTAATATAGAAAAGATCCTCTTTAAATATAGGTTCAAATGGCCCACAATGACTTCATTATGTTGGACTTCATTAACTCATTCCTAACAGGTGTTTTCAGAGAACATCTGCTGCACAGTGTCCATTATGATGGCAGGGACCAAAGGACCATTTCTGGGGAGGTCTACAGATGACAATATTTCGGTTTTATCAGAATACATGTCCTATGTCACACCCAGATTTAAGAAGTGAAACCTAGCCAGGCGGTGATGCACACCTTTTATCCCAGCACTCAGGAGGCAAAGGCAGGCAAATCTCTTTGAGTCCTAGGCCAGCGTGGTCTACAGAGTTCTAGGACCGCCAGGGCTATACAGAGAAACCCTGTCTTGAAAAACCAAAAAATAAGAAGTGAACCTTCTTAAATCTTCTGTCTTAAAAGTAGTTCCAGGGTCAGGAATGTGGCTCAGTAGTGGAATGCTTGCCAACCAAGTATAAGGTCCTGGGTTTGATTGAAATTCAGCATTGCACATATTCCTCACACACACACAGTATGATTCCTGCTCAGTGCAGCAAGCATGTCCCTCAGGGCCCCACCTCTCCCCTTTCCTTTTTCTGATATTTTCTTCAGTGCATGTCTTTTCTTAATTTTCAGAGGTTCTCTGATCCCTCAGTGGTTTGGCAATTTCTCAGATTAAACTATTTTATAATGATTTCTATTTCCTTCTAATTCAGTTATGGGCTCAAGCTTAAATTTTCTTTCATTAAGTTATGTAAGTAATAAAGACTTTAAATTGGGGGGACTTTATTGGCTTAGGCGTTATATAGAACTTTCTAATGAGAAAGTTACTATCTGGAAATTTAGAATGAATGGTCATCCCACCCCTAACTTAGTTTTTGAGGCATTTAAAAATCTGAGTAGTGTGGGTGCTATTCTACAGTCTTTCGTGTGGATGCATTGCTTGTGGACTCTTACATGGCACACTTTTCACTGTTGCTGAAGTACTTAAAGCTTTAGTATGACCTAAACTATGACTTTTCTGTGTGGGTGCACTATGATCTATGTGTCAGGTGTATTCTGTGAGAAATTGCTGTGTGAGAAAATGGATATTAATGCCCTTGAAAATGTAGTGATGGTTGTTTATCCTATAAAGTATCTTGGAGTGTTTGTGTATTTATTCCTTTGTAATTTCTCTTGTCACACTATTGATAGTTGTTTTTGCATTGCTTTACAACAATTACATACTTAATATTTGGGGTATTCTTCCCACACTTTGCATACATGTGTTTTAAAACAAAAAACGTCATGTGTCTGTATCAGGTTAGCTTCCTAGGCAGTGTACTTTGGTATCAGAACAAGCTTGCTTTCTGGGAAGAGGCTTTCAAGGGGAGGAAGAGGAGGCAGTGCAGAGATGAAATGTGCTTTGAAGCCTGTGGCCTGTGGTATTATGCTTTGGAGGCTCTAGCAGAGACACACTGAGGGGATGGGCAGATGACCCAGTCAGTAACCTACTTGTTACATAAGTATGAGGGCCTCAGCTTGACCCCCAAGACCCCTGTAAAAAAGCTAGACATAATCCCAGCACTGGAGAGTGGAGACAGGTGGCTGCCTGGGCTTGGTAGCTAGCCACCCTACCTGCTTGGTGAGCTCCAGGTTTAGTGGGAGACCCTGCTTCATAAAACAAGGTGGGTGGCATTTGAGATGACATCTAAGACTGTTCTCTGACTTCTATCTGTAGGCACATACACATGAACACATATACTCAAAAAAAAAAAAATAGGACCCCACTGTGTTCATATCTACCTGTCACCCAGTGATTGGAGGTAGCAGTTCGAGGGAAAAAGAGGTGTGACTTCCACAGAGCTGCCTCCAAGGAGGAGAAATCTTTCATTTCCAGAAGGCTTTAGGTAACATATCACAACCTCTACAAGAAAGCTATCTTGCTGCTGAGCAGGTCTTGTCTGGTCACCGGTCCCTTAGCTGACCCTTTCTCATCCTTACCCTATTTTCCTGCAGGACTTCACAAACTTCAGTTGTCACATACCTCAAGGGATTCAGAAACTGCGAAGCCTTCTGCGAATGGGCATCAGAAAGCACTGTGAGACCTGACTGCCTCAGTAGGATTCTGCAGCCAAGTCCTGATGACAACTCCTGATTCCTGACATTCCCACAGATACTGATCAATTCGTGGTGGGATCTGGGTCCACCTGTCAGTGCTACCTTCTCATCACTGAGAACTTGGCACTGCTGATAAGTTTCTCATTTGAATTTTCTGATTGACTTTAGAGCTTTTGGTTAAACCCTGAGTCTTAGAGACTGAGGAAAAGTTGTATGTCTACAGCAGGGAGCCATCTGGATGAGAGATAAAGATGTGCCACCAGGCAGACTTGGACTTTCTTAGGCTTTGCTTTATGACATGAGACATTTGGGTCTGCAGGCAGAAGCCTGCCTGAAAGTTGCTTGGTACTCCAAAACATCTTCAGAAAGTCTTGGAAACTTCTGTACTAGTAGCAAACTAAGATTTTTATTTCCTTAAAAAACCAAAAGCAAGAGTTTGATTCATATTACAGAATCTTCATTAGACTTCGAGCCAATGGAAAAATACTAGATTCTTTTCAAACCTGAGCCTTGGTGGGCAGCCCCAGGACTATCTTTTTGTGGTAAGCTGCAGTAGGAAGCATACATATGTGATTGTAGGTTTGGATGTTTGTGTGTATACACTCGATAATACTTCTCACAGCACAGTGACAGTGTTGTACACACTTGTAACTTAGACTTTGCCTTATAGGCCATATGTACATTCACTTTTTAAAACCTTTTTAAAAAACTGCTTCACTTCCTGTGCTTGTTGTGCCCGTGAAACCCATAGATGGAAACTGCTGCTGCTGCTTCTTCATGTCTCTCAGGCTTTGGTGACCTTCATATACACCACCTTAAGTCTCCACCTCAGGAAAGTTACCAGAACTTAAAGGTCATGGAAGTGCAGGTGCAGTGTTATATGAGCTCATAATTTTTCAGTTGTAAATGTTGGGATGGTTTCTCAACTCTCGAGTCTACTGTTAAAACACACTTTGAGTACACGCCGTTGCTGTTGCTAGGTAGCACACAATTCACAGAAATATAGTGGTGCTCACATGCACTGTGTGGCTGACAATACAGGGTTGTGTTCAGAAAGAAGTAAAACTTTTTCCCTCAAATTGTTGAAAATAGTTTCTTTTGGAGAAATTTATGAAAAACAGGTTGTATCTGACATAATTTTTTATTTTTTACTTAGAAAAAGAAGAAAATTTAGCTGTACTTTTACAAACCATTGAGTCCACTTCTTTACTTACATTGTAGCATTTCCTGATTCCTAAGGTTAGTTTTAAGGAAAAGGACCATTGGTGCTGTGGCTCTGAGTGACTCAGTGCATGCCTTCAGTGAGCACTGGTAGATTCCTGAGTGTGAGCTCCTGCACTAGCACAATGCAAGCCAGCTGCTGTCAAATTTCCATTATCATTATGCCCATGTTAGTTAATGCCAGGCTCTGCTTTTTATTGAAACTTGAAACTCATCCTTTGGGCAGACCAAGTGAAGGAGAGATCTTAGTTTTTTTCACTGCAGTCACTTTCAGTGCACACCATTTGACGATACATCAAACACAGAGCTCCTGGCTAATCTGTAAGGTAAGGTGTCTGAAAATTTCATAAAATATTAAACTTTTCAATATGTCTCAACTTCAATTTTCTTAATGTTCCTGTGTGTGTGTGTGTGTGTGTGTGTGTGTGTGCGCGTGTGTGTGTGTGAGCGCGCGAGCACGTGCTTGAGTGCGTCCGTCTGTCTGTCTGTGTCTATTCATGAGTGAAGATCTGAGGACAACTTTCAGGAGTCAGTTCTTCCCTTTGACCGTGTGTAGGCCTGTGATTGAATTCAGGTGTCTTTACCTGAGGAGACATCTCACTTGCCCTGCATTGGCTCATGTTATATGTCTTATGTTTATTTCTTATTGTGAACTCACATCAGAGACTGTGAAGTGGCACTGGTGTACAGGAGCATAGGGGCAGGAAGTGGGCATTCCTTCTAGACACATGGGTAGCTCTGAAACCTATCAAACAGGAAATGTATACCTCTAGTTCATGGCTTTGGAACACAGTCAAGAAAACTAAGGTGTTTGACTTGCCCCATTCTTGAGTAAAGAATTAGGTCAGTCTGGACTGGCCAGATTCCAGTGACTCCCATTGGCTTGTTCAGAGTTGTCAGCAGACAGATCTTGGAGACATCACTCTTTCTGTGTGTTGATGGGCACAGCCAGCATAGCTTGCCTGCCCATGCACCTTGTATGTGGTGAACCTCTTTCTCTATTCTTTACATGCAGCCCACACTTACTGCAGATCAATATGCAGATGTCTAACATGATTTGATTTTAAAATGAGACCAATTTTATGGATGTAATGTGCAAGGACTTAGAGCTTGAAAAAACAGTAGTAGCAGCCACCTTCAAGGGCTGGCTGCCCTTGTCACACATTGCCTGAAGCACTTGCTATCTCTTTCTCCCTACTCAAACCTTAATTTTATTTAGGACACAGGAAGCCTGAAGTAGTTCCAGCTTTGACTACACTGCAGAGTAGGAAACTCTGTAGCTACTGTCTGAAAAGTTGGTACCAGCCTTGGCCCTGGAATTCCTAAGAACAGATAAGGAGCCCTCATAGGAACTGAACGTACTAGAAAAAAAAAAAAAAGAAAGAAAAACAAGAAAACTATAATCTATCTACAAATCATTACCTCTGTCCTGAGTGGTAAGGATAGCTAATAGAGGACATGTGGCATTTCAGTTTTATAATGATGTGTCTCATGTGCTTTGAAAGTAAAAAAAAAAAAAGCTTACAAAGCTTAGTAAGATTGGACTCCACCCCAGCTTGTTTTAGTCTTCTAGAGCTCTCACTGCTGTTAGGTCCTGGAAAAAGCCTCAAAAAACCTATTGTTGGCTCTCACAGACCACTTCTGGACCAAAATGCCCTGAGAATGTGCTTCTTGGCCAGTATCTTACTCAGTTCATGAGTTACTGAGAATATCTAGGGATGAGTTAGGTCTGATGAAGAAGCAGCAATCATACAAATTCATAAGTGTGGAAGAACTCATGTCTGTCCCCCATGTAGGGAGAAAGGAAGACTTTATAATTGTCCACAGCCTAGAGCATGCCAGCCTCCCAAGTATGATTAAAGTCAAAATTCGAGGGAACAGTGAGAAGAAAGCTTTATCTTGCAAGAATGCTAAGACATCTGCTAAGTTAAGGAGGAGATCAGTTCATCACAATAAAGACTGCTCTGAGGAAGAAGCCACATTGAGAGTTCTGTGGCCTCTGAACCTTACTGGCATGCAGTATCCCAATCAGGGCTGTCACCAATGTCCATGTGACAGTCAACGAAAGACATGGCAGAATAGTAAAAGTTTGTACTGTCTTCTTGAAAGGTACTTTTTTTTTTTTTTATAAGAAATTTACCTGAGTTGTTACTGACGATTGCAAGATCCCCGAGGCCTTGCCTTCAACACTAGAATTTTCACTGCCCCCAGAACCCCAACTAAGTTGATACCTGATGTGTACTTCACCCCGAGGACCTGTTTGTTGCCAACAACTAGCATCCATTCCTGTGTCAGTAGATATGGACTCTGCTACTTCAGCAGCATACATTACCATGGACATTCATAGGCTCCAGGGATGGCAATACCATCTCAGCTTGTATATGGCCTCCCTCCAAGGCCAGAGCAGTCAGACTCCTGGAACCCTTGCTACATTCCCATTAGATACAGACACACCTGCAGCTGAGTTTCCTGAGTAGAAAAGTTGGTCTCTGAGATGCAGCTTATCTTTGTCTCCAATAAGTCTCCAAATGTTGTAATAGTATGTCTCTAATCATTAAGAACTTTATGAGCATTAGCCTAACATATACATACTTATCCACAAATTATTTTTCTATATTATAAACCAAAAAGAGCCATTTAAAAAAGGGTAAAATACAAATATAGATTTTAAACACTTCTTACATTGTGTAGGGGGAAGTTCCTGAATCCTGGCTGTACCTTTGCTTGCTACCTGCTTCTCTGCTATGCTCCCATCCAGGTTGGGAGAAGACTATCCAACCAGCCTAAGCATGGCAAACATGGCTCTGGCAGGCTCTGCCCGAACCCCATTCACTCTGCCTTGCTAAAAAACCATTAGATTACATGCCTAAACTAGCCCCCAGGGTCTATTCCCATATTTGGCCACTTCCTCTTCCCGAGGCTGACTACCAAGGTCCACCTATCAAAGTATTGAAGCCCAGCAATCAAAAGCCCCCCTTGGTTTACCTAATTAAGATGCCCAATTAAAATCAAACCCCTCATTCTAACATGGTTTCCCCTTTTACATTCAAAAACTGCCACTTGCCTATGTGCCATGTCTGTCTCCTCTCTATCCAGAGGCAGTTCTTTGTCCCTCCAGGACAAACACCCCTTCTTCCCTCTCTCCCTTGTTCCCTTCTCCCTTCTCTATTTCCTGTCTTTGTCTCTTATTCCCTGCCCTTTGTCCCTCTGGGGCAAATACATCTCCTTTGTGCTAAGAACTTAGTGTCGAGCCAATACTGGTCCCTTCACTGGGATACTGTCTCACATGGACACTGTCTCCCAGCACAGTCATCAACATGCTCTTTCCCCAAAGAGAACAGATCCTGGTGGAGGCTGAGGCAAAAGACACTTAAATCCTTGAGATATAAAGAGCAAGGGAGCTTGAAAAGTCTGTAAGATAGACACCCCAGTACTGATTACCATATTGCTAATTCCGTTGGATGGGTCTTTATCTGTTCCAGTGGCCGGGAGCCACCTGAGCAGAGCTGCTCATGGACTACCATGTACACTAAATCTTAGCACTAGTCTCTGTGTCCAACCTGGGCCTTAAAGTATTAAAAAAAAATCACTATATCTATGCTGACACCCACACACTCCCCCCCCCATCCTTAGTTCCTAATACTGTGCAGCAATGGTTCAGAGGGCACTTACACTATACTAGGCATTATAATTTAGAGGTGACTTCAGAGTATGTGAAGAGACATATGCCAGTTACAAAGGAATAATGTACTATTTCCTATCAGGGACTTGGGCATTTGTGGTGTCTGGCATTGGAACACTGGTGCCAATTCTGTGGGCTCCAGGGATTTTCAGTTGTCTGTCTCACATACGACGACAGGATTCTGCACCACTGTCGTTAACGTTTGGTTTAACTTGTTTTGATGTGGAATACCACTAATATTTTTCAGTTTAGATGTTAACAGTACGTCACTATACTACTAATCTATTATATAAAAACAAAGGAAAGATACTTATGCATTGGATAAGTGTGTCAGTTTCCTGGCTGTTGGTCAGACACTAGCTATATTTTGAGTAACACTATTCCTCATTTATTTCAAGTGACTAAACTCACAAATGCACAAAATACTTTTTATATAATAAAGACTACAGTTAGATGGGTCCTTATATTTCCTTTGTATAATCACAAAGGACAGACAGCAGTGTAGTACACAACCCAAAACTCATACAACTCATCAAAAACCAAGGTAGGCTTTTTACCCCCTTTGTAGTTCTAGTCTTAACTTCCTGAACATAAATTCAGCATTCAAGAATTTTCTTTTGGTAACAGGAGCGGCAGAGAGGACAGGCATGGAAAGGGGCATTGTCTCCCAAGGAAAACTCCTCCAAGGCCAGGAGGCAGGCATGGTGGAACAGGTGTGCACAGGACAGGAGGACTGTCTTTCGGGGACGCTGGCTGCTGGTTTCTACAGCTGCTTGTTGACAGTCAGCATGGAGGGAGAGTGGAGTCAGGCAGATGGAACACTCATAGATCTCCCGGTGAGCAGCCTGCAGCACAAAGCAGATATGGATTTGTAATAGGAGTTACTCAGACCAGTGAGAACTCTATCCCAAGACATAGGTCCTCTAAAAATGGGCAGTATGTTGAAAATCTTAAATGTTTAAGATGTGAGATGTAGAGATTATAATAAGCATTTTAAAACAAAAATACTTTTAAAATGCTGAGCATTAATAATATAGCATATATAGTGCCTTTTAATTATTAAAAGTGGGAAGACATTTGGCTGATACTGTTAAAATTTTAAAACATTCCCAATTTTATGTTTTAAGGTTTTTTTTTTTTTTAAACTCCCAGTTTTATGTTTTAAGTTTTCTCTACATCTTGGTTTTGAGTCATTGAAGAGCCCTGCTTTCCTTCCTTAGGCTATTACAGATATAGGAGGAGGGCAAGAATCATGGCCTTACCCTTTTAGGTCCTCATTGTTCATAACACCCACCATTGAACTAGAACTTTTAACATTTCAAAATGAAAGACCCTGATGGTCATCGCTGAGCTCATGGCAAAGGCCTAGGTGTCCCCATCCAAGGCAGACGTCACCAAGGCTCCCACCCTAACAGACCATGTGTGATTGCAGTCCATTCTGCAGAGGCAGCCAGGAGCTGGCCTGAAGCCTACCTGCACTTGGATTTTCTCCCAGTCCTCCTCAGTCATCTCATGGCCACACCTGTCATCTAACTGCTGAAGAATGCTACGATTTACAGCCAAGCAGAGGTCGATTTCTGAGAAGAGTTCATCTATGTTGGTGTTGTATGAGCACAGGATTCGGTGGCTGATTTCTGTGAACTGAGAACAGAGGCATTGACTGGAGCATCTGAATGACAGGGTAGAGTCATTCTTGAAGGAGGAACTTGGCTTCCCTTCTCTCCAGAAGCTGTCATGAGGCCCCACTGTCATGTAACAGGAGTACCCTCATCTCTGAGGACAGCAGTCCTGAGAAAAGCCTAGACCAGACCAGGTCAAGCTACCTGTCTCACTGTCCTTAGCTGTTTCCTTTTTGGGACTTTACATTCTTCATCAGTGAGAGCCCAGTTCACTGCTGCTTAGCTGTTGACTCAGGTCTTGTCTTCTGTAAGAAGGTGCCCATGTCACAGGAGACTTTGTTAAGTGTTGATGCTTTTCTCTTGCTAATCTGTCTTTTGTTGGTCTAATTCAACAATTTAGGGAAGTATAAAAAAAAGAAAAGATACTTTTTCCTCTGCTGCAGTTAGCAAGGAATGTGTCTGGGACTAAAGCTGACAGGAGGGAGGGATTAGAATCTTAGAGGACTTACATCGCACAGTGTCTAACTTCTTGGCACTGCTACCAGGCATGTGGAGACTAGAGCTATCTCTTATGCTTTGCTCATCTGCCTGTGAAGCTGTGGCTCCAGATTATAGATGATCTTAGTGTAAGCAGAAAAGAGGAAATCCAAGCAAAGGAGGGTTGTCCTTTTGCTTTCTTTTTTCCCATTAAGCTCTAAGGTCACAATGTGAAACACGTCTTGCCTAATGACTTTAAAAATCTTCCTCTAAGCACAGATAGTCAGTTTATGGAAAACTAAGATGCCCCACTACAGAACAGATCCCTTGGGACTTAGGTTGGACTCTACACACTAGTGTCAGTACAGAGGCAGCATCTGCAGCGTGTGCATGCCATCTGAAGCGTAACCTTCAATCAGTCTGTAGTGTTCCTCCAAACCCAGCCACTTTATAAAGTTTTTTATATATTACAAAAACAGATTTGGGGAAGCAGCTGGTCTTAGGACAAATGACTTGGGCGTTAGATGCTGGTTGGCAGTGGCAAGGTATGTAGTCATCTCCTAATGGCATGAACAGGAGCTGCTGGATGCATCGGGCTCCCAACACTTTGAAGCACACACTAGAATGAACTACTATACACACACAGGAAGGCTGGGCATTCCTGGGCAAGTTTCCCATTAGCTTTACCTACTGCTATTAAATAGACCTTAATCTGCCCGCTTCCTGACTCATCTGGATATGTCTGCTGTGATTCTTTCTCGTCTGTGGTTGTACCTTCTACAGTTACAAAGGTTTGACGCTGTGCCTGCCCTTTCCTCACGATGCTGTCACCCTATTTTAAAAGAGCAAAGTCTTGAGTACTATATTAGAAATGTAACATGCCTTAAACTTTAATGGGGTTTGTGTCAAGATAGTAAGGAGGCATGGTGATGCACACCTATAATCCCAGCAGTCAGGAGACTTGAGGCAAGGGGTTAAAAGTTTGAAGCTCGCCTGAGCTACATGAGACCCTGTCTCAAAGTGATTTTTTGTTGTTAAGTGTCTTGCCAACAAAGTTGTATAGTGGTCTGCTCCAACTCATTTTTTTTCTGTAAGTTTTCATGACTTATTTTTCTTAATTAAAACATACATTAAAATGTACATTATTGGTCCTGTGCTTAAATGTCATTGTAATTGTGGTCTTATTTACTTCAAACATAATTGTAGGGAATTCTTCATAGATACCTTCTAGACAGAAGTTCAAATGTATACAAATGATTAATAGGATGGTACCACTTCACACAGCATTTCATTATAATTAATAATTTTAGAAAATGAAATTTCACAGTATTTTCTATTATACCAGTACTTACGGAAGGTGGGCATGGCCATCACAAGAGCACTCTGATCATCCTGAGTTTCCAATTTACAGAAGCTTTTTTATAATTTACTAGATCAGCTAACCTAGCTCTTTTATTCTTTTTTTTTTAAAGATTTTATTTATTATGTATAGTTATCTGCATGCATGCTTGCACACCAGAAGAGGACACCAGATCTCATTACAGATGGTTGTGAGCCACCATGTGGTTGCTGGGAATTGAACTCAGGACCTCTGGAGGAGCAGCCAGTGCTCTTAACCACTGAGCCATCTCATCTCTCCAGCTCTTTTATTTATTTATTTATTTATTTATTTATTTATTTATTTATATATTTATTTATTTTTTCCGAGACAGGGTTTCTCTGTGTAGCTTAGGAGCCTATCCTGGCACTCGCTCTAGAGACCAGGCTGGCCTCAAACTCACAGAGATCCACCTGCCTCTGCCTCCTGAGTGCTGGGATTAAAGGTGTGCACCACCAACGCCCAGCCAGCTCTTTTATTCTTAACAAGTAGATTATTTATATCTCTTCAACCAGTGTTGCCTTCCTGGGCCCATTCTTTCCAGATAGGAAGAGAAACTATGACCAGGTTCTTCATACCAGGCACTCAAATGTGACACCCAATCTTTATTTGCTGCCCAGTTAAAGACAAATAGAGGGATTCCCACTAGGATGTTCCATAGAGAGGAGATCATGTTTTCATGTTGGGTGTCCAGTTTAGGTGTGAGGCCCTAGATCCTGAGCACTATGGCTCTGCATCACCAGCTTCTAGCCCTGTGCTCTGCTTTAGTCCCAGTTTTAGAGTTTTTAGGGATAGTTACGCTGGCAGAATGCTTAGGTGGGTAGTAATAGTGCAGTCACAGAGGGAGGGCTTGCAGGGTCTAGAGTCAGATGGGTTGGGAAAGAGAATCATTCTATGGATTTCAATGAGGCTATAAAGATTTGGTCTCTCTGAGCAAGAGGAAAAACATTTGCTGTTAAGGGAATCACTTTCCAAGACTGGGTGTGTATTCATTGCATAGCAGTACATGTCGTATTTACACATCTTTTGCCATAATATAATTACTCTGAGGACCTGAAAGATTCAGGAGTTAGTTACACTACCAGAGACTCTGTCAGAAATGCAGTTGGAGCTACATGTGCAGTGCTAAAATTTCTAGTAATCATGTTGAATAGGCTTATAAATTTAGTATTTTACTACCAGTATATCCAGAATACCATTTCACCACTTCCATTTGAGTGACGATTAATGGGGTATTTTACATGCTGTTCCCCATCTCAGGTCAGACGCATCTTTTTCCCAGAACTTAAAGCCAAGTGCCTTGTCATCTGTGTGCTTGAGAAACACAAGCAATTTAGGAGATGAGACCATTAAAGAGTAGTCACCAGTGCCACTTGAGGCAGGAGTGGGATCTCGTTCGGGGCCACAGCTCCATTTTGAAAATCTAAGGGCTTGGCAGCAGTTCACTTAACTAGCATAAATAAGGCACTTGATTCAATCTTAAGAGCTGAGAAATTAAGACTATAGGAGACAGGTGTTAGATGGGTACAGCAGTGACAGATGACTGTCACATGCTCATTGCCCACAGCAGTTGGTATCTCACTTAGAAACCGTTTCCCACTCACCTGTGAGCCTGGGGAGCCACATACTGGCTGCTTGCAGGCCAGCGCACCTACTGCACCCATGAATAAGACCTGAGCGTGACTGCACACAGGTGTGTGCACACTGTCCTTACCACTGATCAGTCCCATTTGTGTCATTACTGACACCTGCCCAGCTGTGTCCATCTTCTGTTCTCTTCTGTGCATTCTTTTTGTTCTGTCACCTTATACATTACGATTGCATTTATTTTCCATGTGGGTGTGTACATCATGGCTTGAGGGTGGAGGAGAAAGACAGCTACTGGGAGTCAGTTTTCACCTTCTACCATGTAGGTCCTGGGCTTTGAACCAGGCTCCTCATCAAGGACCTTTACCTGCTCCCACTTTACCAGTGCTCCCGCATTAAAAACAAAAGAAATAAACCTCTGTTCTCCAATAAAAAATTTGTATTTTTAGATTTTTTCTCTATCACCTTAAAGGTGAAAAGTCTTTTATTGTTTTAGCTCCCACCCTAGAGATTCATGCTTAGATTATCACTGTCCAAAGTTAACCAGGATCTTCAACCTGGGGATCTACACATGCTTTCACTCGAGACTATCCCCTTCTGGCCCAGATTTGCAAACACTAGAGCTCTCTGACTTAACCTGTTGGGGACACACTGTTATTCTTGTTTGCAGATTCACTGCCTATGGGATCAGCCTCTTTCCATTGCTTATACCACAGACTTCTCATCTAGGGTAATTTTCTTTCTTTAGGGAATGCAATTTCAGTGCTCTTCCCACGAAGCCATTTTGGAGACCTGACAGTGCTGTCCATCTGAACTCATCTCTCTCAGACTCTTGTTCTTAGGGCTTTCATACAGTTCTAGGCTGCTGCTCTCCTCCCTGATGTGATGCCCAGCCTTCTGGCGTATGCTGAACCCTGAGACAGCTGTGTAGTGCAGTGCTGTTCCTTTGAACACCCTATTGGGTGTCTTTGCTCCTGAGGTCTTCCACAGCATTACTAGGTGGAACACTGGCCCCCCTTTAAGTCATACGGAGAGTCGTTTGGCCACTGAAATTTGCTCTAGATTAGCTTCAGATCTGGAAAATCCTTTTCCTGCTTCAAGCTGTTCTGTTTGTCCTATGTATTCACTTTTCCTTCTCAGTTCTAATTACAAGATGGAGCCTATTGCAACCTCTCCACTTGTGACTTCTCTGAGACATGGCCAGTGAAAGGAGAAGGAAAAAGCAGCCAGGGTAGCTAGGGCCCTTTTCGTGGGAGAAAGTCCTCAACAGTGACTCCAGTGCTGTGTAGAAATTCCATCCCAGAGAGAAGACTCAGGATGTAAGCAACTCATAGTCTCTGGAAGTCCCTGCAACTGAGCACACACAAGGCCCCTCCCCAAAGGTTATATAAGCAGTAAGGACTGCTGTAGAGAGGAGCCTGACTTGTCCAGCTTCTTGCATGCTATGTAGAGGGCAGCTCCACGTTATGGTGGGCTTTCTTTGATGGATATGCCTTTGAGACTTGGAGGAGACACTTGTTCACATTTTCCCAGAGCAGGGTCACACGATACTCAACATAATGTGCTGGAGAGGAGGAAGACTTGAGGTACAAACAAGAGAGTATTGGAATTGGAGTGTGGCCACAGGCCAGGCAGGCAGTTCCTGTAACATTGCAGCCATCCGGCTGAGAAGTGATGGACATGTGTGTAGGTGGGAAATGGTAGCTCTGGGCTTCCACATGTGAATTCAGACCTCATGTCTGTCCTTAGACAGACACCACACAGTTTAAAGCTCATGCTAATGATTACAATGTTACTCCAAACAACAAATCACAACAATTTAAAAGGGCAGAGAAAAATTGTATTAAATATTTTTTTTGTATTTTCATTTCATAACTTGGTTTGGCCCTATCACCTGGAATATGGTACTTGTATCCCTCACATAACTGCCACCAGCTGCCGCTGTTCCCACTCATAGCTCCAGGCCTCTCCTCTAGGAGGCGCTCTTGACAAGACTATGCTGGGGAGCTAGGCTGCCTCCCACCCCCACACCTGGTCACTCCCTTCTGGGAGCGTGAGATGTAAGTGGGCTTCCCAGACATGTTTTTCTCTCCTCTCTCTCTGCTGGACTGACTGCTGAGTCCTGCTCTTCTTCTGTCCTTTCCCTGGTGCACCCTGCAGCTTACTGCAGAACTGAATCCTAGCTGTTCCCGAGCTCAGGCCTGCTCATTTGCTGCCAGGAAGCACTTCACTGAGATCTCACAGGCACCCCAAGCAGCAAGCCCAAGGCACCCTCCCCAACTCCAAATAGAGCTAAGTTTGGCTGTGGTCCCGAGTCACAGGACCACACCTATAGGCATCTTTTCTTCTCGATCCCACATTGATCCATGAGCAGATCCAGTGGTCTGTCCCTGAGCACTTTCCCAGCAGGCACTGCTTATGTCATGGCGGTTCCCCTCTCCAGTAGCCTGTGGGGCAGCACCCAGCCCACTCCAGTCATCACAGAGGTGAGACAGCAGGGCTCCACTGGCAGTTTCTGTTCACAGTCATTTCTCACACCCCTTATTCAGACTGACCTTCTCTGCTCCCTCCCTTTCTCCATGTCTGCCTTCATGGTACTTATTGTTCCTTGAAATTTTATTTTGTTTGTTTTGTTTTATTGAGATCAGAATCTCAATTTGTAGCTCTGGCTGGCCTGGAACTCAGAGGGAAATTCACTGCCAATCAGAGCAATATCGCCTTTACACTCCCTTACTTTTTAATTTTATAAACTTAATTATTTTAAACTTTATTAGTTTTAAAGAAATTTTGTTTTAAACAAAAATACTTTCATATGTAATGATGGTTAAGAACTACTAAATGCTTTTTATTCAATCTAAACTAAATTTCACTTTATCACTTACAGGCATTACATGATGAAGTAGATAAAGGCTTGTCCCATTTCGGTGGGGCTGGTTTTAAAACAGCTTGCAAACTGAGCTAGTATTTAGCAGGCAGTGTACTGCCCTGAGGATCAAAGACTACAAACACTGTTCTTTTAATGAAGAGCTCCTAAAGTAGTAGGAACACCACTGACAATGCTGGTGACTTGGAAACCTGCAGGCTCCTGGGAGGTGAGGACAGGGACCTGTACTGTGTTTTAGAACTCAGGTGGCCAGAGCTGAGGCTGCAACAGCTTTTCCCATGTCTGTGTCAT